GATAATACTATTGTCGACTTCAAATTTAGTCGATCAGCCAAGAGATGTTAGTCTGAAGATTGCGTCTTTAGTTTTGTACTGGGGCTATGAGGCTAATGTAGCTAGAACGTAATAGAAGCCTTTCGCCCAAAATCTCTGCCTCAACTGACATCCAGACCTTCAGTGATGTTCCACAGACAGGCTGATGTGGTTTAGGACACAGGTCAACTTCCTATAAACATGAACTAAACCTCACGTTGTAGCTGAATGCTGGCATGTTATAGAAGTTGTCACCTGGGACAACTAGAATCACTTTTTTTTCTCCAAATGACTCCACTTCTTAGACTTCGCCCTCAACCAAATTCTGAAGTTTGAATTGACGTGAAGTTCCACTCTGAACTAAAGCTTCATAATAAATATGGACTTTAGCTGCTCTTTAACAAGTTTATTAAAAGAGAAGATCTTGTACCTTAAAGCTGCATGATATACGATTTTGGAATCATGGTAATTGCACCCTCTCTGATAAAAAAAAAAAAAAGTACCTTCGAGTACCACATGTAAGAACTATTTGTAATGTGGGTTGTACTGCTTCTTTCTGTGCTTCCTTCTGATGGCTGTGAGAGGTAAGTAATACACATTCAGAGAGAATATAGGGCTGCATCCCATGTATGCATTCTGTGCCATAAACAATATGACTAAATAATATATACATGACTGGTGACAAGACATCCTATTTAGTATGGTAGTATGTGGTTTGGGATCAAATTTTCAGCAACATTAGAGACATCTTCTTGGTATTACAGAAGTGTTATAAGCCTAAACACTTTATTGTACACATTAATGTGACTGTCGGTGTTACTGAGTATGAGCAAAACCTTTCTACTTTGGCAATGTATTTTTGGTAGCTTAGAGAGCTTCCTATCTTTGCCTACATCTTTTTAAGGGTTGTGGTGTGATGATATAAGATGTCTGGTGTGTGGAAAACTTCAAACCTGACAGCTCTGACTGTGAATTACTGTGAGTTACTGTTACAGGACTGTCAGAGTCACAGCAGCTCAGGAACATCATGCTTTCATTGTAACTTTATACTCAATTCATGCTTTTTTCTTATTTAGCAAAAGAATTATACACACTGAAGCTTAGATTTTTAGGTCATTTGACGCACTTGTTAGCTACATTAGCTTCTTACCTCCAAATAAACACCAGACTTGTCTTGTCTGATTGACAACAATTGGGGGGGGAGGGGGGGATCATCCGATTTTGAGGTTTTGCCAAACCATTCCTTTAAATTGAGATGAAATGAATAAAACAATAAGTCAAACTATTTAAGCGTCAGTGTGATGGTGAAACCTTGGTGACACCCTGTCTTGGAATGTCCTAGAATGAGGTGCTGAGTTTCAGCTGATTTGTAACTATTTTGACAACATGAAAGAGACAAAAAAGACATTTACTCTCATCAGAGGGGTGTAGGGCAAACAGGACACAAGCCTTTGGACCATCTGAGGGAAAAAGAAACATGGAGCAGGCTGGAGTATGTGGCGGCTGGGCCGAGCTCGGTGTCCTGCAGGGCTCCATGTTTTCTTTCTACACACCGGGCAGGGATGATTGAGGGGAGGGGCCACGCCCGCCCAGCTCACTGTGCTGCGTTTATTTGTCCTGCCTCATGTGCGGTGAGCAAGAATCCAGCACAGCCATGTCCAAGAAAGTGCTGTTTAGGTTCTACAGCATGCATGTGCGTGCTGTCCACATCCCAGTGAGTGTTTGCTTGAAATGAATCATGTGTTTGTGCGTTTGTAGTGTAAATGAAAGCCATGGTGAGTGTTTTGGTGTGGGGTCAGTGTGTTTGCTTCCAAATAACAGCAAAAACTCCATAGCCTTGTCTTATAGCAAAAAAAAAAACACCTGTCTGTAAATAGGACATATATTTACTGTTTGTAAATAGGACAAACAAGTGTTAAATGCTTTATCTTTTCTTATCCATCATCACTGTCCATCAAAACAGTATTACAAAGTGCCAGTTAAAGCATATCCCTAAATTCATCATCCATAATATGAGTAGCAGCAGTGCGACGCAGCAGAATGGCCAGACTGCTTTGAGCTGACAGGAAGGCTATGGTAATTCAAATAACCATTTTTTACAACCGTGGTGAGCAGAAAAGCCTCTCAAAACACACAACATGTTGAACCGTGAGAAGGATTTCAGCCAAGAAAAGGAATCTGAGGCTACAGTGGGCACAGGCTCATCGAAACTGGACAGTGGAGGATTGGAAAAATGTCACTTGTTCTGATGGACGTCAATTTTTTGCTGTGACATGTAGATGATAGGGTCCGGGTTTGACATTAACAGCATGAATCCATGGACCCTACCTGTCTTGTATCAGTAGGTCAGGCTGGTGGAGGTGGTGTAATGGTGTTGGGAATGTTTCTTGGCACACCAATCGGGCATTGTTCGAAAGCCACATCCTGTCTGAGTATTGTTACTAACCACATCCATCCCTTTATGGCCACAATTTTTTACCCAACTTATAATGGCTACTTCCAGCATGACAATGCCCCATGTCAAAAAGCAAAAGACATTTCAAAATGGTTCCATGAACATGACATTGAGTTCTGTGTACTACAGTGGCCTCCCCAGTCACCAGATATGAATCTGATAGAGCACCTTAGGGATGTGGTAAAACAGGAGATTTGCAATTAAATAAATTATTTATTTATATACATTAATGTAAATATAAATAAATATAAATAAAAAATATAATGGTAATGCTTTCAGAATTATTATTATTATTATTATTATTATTATTATTATTATTATTATTAGAAATAAAGAAATGAGTGATAAAATCTATGGGCCAAAAGGTTTCTTTTTGAAATAAAATAAACAACAACAACAATAATAATAATAATAATAATCATAATAATAATAATAATTTTATTAGATTTTATTTCTTTTCATAGTCATTAGTCCTGTCAGATTCAAGATTTGACTTAATTTCTTTATTAACAGATATTACTGAGAAGCTACATGTAGGCCCACAGTATGAAGTGTGTGTTATAAATCACACGTTCCTCACTTGAGGTCATAGGTCACAGGTGATGAGGTCAGTGATTACGCTCCACTTTATTTAATTACTCAGGAGAGAAAAGTTGGCTCTGCACTGGAATTCTGTGGAATCTGGACTCAGCCTTTAGCGCACGGCGTGGCAGCTGCTCGACGTCCCATTATGGAAATCCTTAATATTTAATACATCGATTAACATTAACAAGTCGGGCAGAACTGTTTCACCACTTCCATTATTATTTGATATCTCCTGCTCAGGGCGATGATGGGTGGCATAATGAAAGGTGGATCTCTATTTCAACCTTGAGGGGCTCCGGCGGCCTGCCAGTAATGAAGACGTATTAAAGCTTAATGTAGCTTAATGTAGCAGGTGTCATATATCTCCTGTGCAGAAGCTCTTTCTAAAGCATTATATTCATCGCTACTACCTTAAAAGCCACTAAATCTCATGGGCTAAGTTCAGTCTGGCTGTGATTCTCTGTCATTAATCGATAGAAAAATTGTTAACACACCTCAGCCGGGTTCCATTAGTCTGTCCCCGGGCGATAAATGTGCTGGTGGCGCGCGACGGTGAAGCAAACTGTCTCGCCCTCTCAGGTTAATGGCCGAAGTTGAACAAGTGACCAGTCCGTCAGCAAGGACGCCGTCTTCAGCAGCCATGATCTCAATGGCGTGGGCTAGGAGCCAATCGTATGTTTCTTTTAGGGTCCTGCTCATATCTGCGCATACGATTCCATGAAAAATCGGCATGTTTTGCTACAGAGTACAACAAATAGCCGATTTCCTCCTTGACAGAAGTGAGCTCCTATGATACATTATTTCAATACTTTTTCTGACCTCAGGGTCAATCCCACTTTCCCTGAGTGTTCATGCACAATATGTTTTACTGTCATGACATTTCATATCCTTATCAAAACAAGATCAATGTGTTTTATCAGTCAGTGCAATGTATAGTTTCATATATGGCGCCATTGCGTAATTCTTACCTTAAAGAAAAGTTTGGTTGAATATTGAATGTAAAAAAAATATCCCTCCACCCAAAATGTAGTCGATCAGTCAAGACATGTCTGCTGCTTAAAGGCTAATGTTGCTAACATGCAGGGTTGCATCAACTCCTTTAAGGGGAAAGTAGCTAATGCACACTCGAAAAAGTCATTAGAAGTCTCCAGATGATGTCATGGGCTGATTTGCATATTCATTGAATCGTCGTGATCATTTACAAATCAAAAAAAACCTAACTATTTACCTATTTACAAAACAGAATCAAACCAATTGTTTATGTATTTAATAAATTCTGCAATTTCTATCAAGAATGCTGACAATATTATGGAGTGGTAGTGAGGAGTCAGGAAATAAACACTGTTGTGGTTATGGAAGGAATAACTCCATTATTATTACTATTATTATTGCAAATATTGCCAGGAAGAGAACAAGGCAGAACAAGGAAGTCTGTGGGTGGCTATATATATATATTTTTAAATAAAAGGAGTCTAAAAAGTCTAAACACAATCTAACAACAAAGTCACTAAGTTGGCATCACTGCTAACATGTAGAAGCTCCAGTTTAGCAATTACATCACATTCTCCTTAAACAACACTGTTTGGTTCAGCAAAACCATTTGTAAACAATTCTAACATATCGGGGTAATTTCCTATTAAAAACCTTAGGCCACACTACTTCCAGCAAACTAGGAACCGAGAAAGAAGGTGATTTGGATTCAAGATGGAGCTACGACTGTTTTTTTTTTTTTTTTTCCCTAAATATGTATGTGTGTCGAGTGAACATGATGTTCATTAGTCTGTCATTGTACAAAAAATCTAATGTCCCAGGATCAACAACCATTTATTGTTTTCGTAACTATATTCCTTTTAAGCAGTCACTACCAAATGAAGTCATTATTTCCTCCACTCCTGAGCCATTTGAAAATGCCTTGCATCAGTTTCAGACACAAAAGTCTGGGGCAGTTGTGGCCTAATGGTTCGAGCGTCGGACTTGTAACCCGAAGGTGAACCCGAAGGTTCGAGTCTCGGGTCCGGCAGGGATTGTAGGTGGGGGGAGTAAATGACAGCGCGCTCTGCCACCCTCAATACCACGACTGAGGTGAGACCCTTGAGCAAGGCGCCGATCCCCCAACTGCTCCACGGGTGCCGCAGCTAAAAAGGCTGCCCACTGCTCCGGGTGTGTGTTCACTACTTGTGTGTGTGCACTTGGATGGGTTAAATGCAGAGCACAAATTCCGAGTATGGGTCACCATACTTGGCCACAAGTCACTTCACTTCACTTCACTTCACTTCAAAAGCTTGTTCATAAAAGTTTATAAAATGACCCAGAATTGTTTGTATGTTGAAAATATCATAACATTGAGTACTGCATGGTTAGCTAGCTAATGTCCCACGTCACAGCGTCAGAAATGTAAACCAGTCTGTTTGAGACACTGAGCATCTCGATGAGCATGAGATTTAGATATGCAATTTGTGTGATGCTAAACTGGTAGCTATCAACTTTCTTCTGAGTTGTTATACTTTAGCCTCGTGAGGTGCAGCAGAGCTCTGTAAGGTGATTATTATTGTATCAGGACCATCTGTGCTCACTTTCAGACTGATGCATTGTAAAATAAAAATGACCAAAAAATGTGCTAACTAAGTCATGTCATGCTGCCAAAACCTAACGTGCAGGAGAGGGAGAAGACGGCTGAGATCATTCCGTTTACTTCATTGTGTAATGCACACCATCATAACCGCTAATTCAATTGTACATTCATTCTGCCAGCTCCTTGCCATTAAGCACGCATTTAACTGCTTCCATCAAGCTTTTAATATGCAGCGCACACAACATGGCGGCCATGACACCAAACAGCGGAGAGGAGCAGCAGCTGCCCCGCTGTCAGCACTGAGATAACCAAGCTTCACGGGGGGGAGGAATTCATGGGGGGGTGGGGGGGTTCGACAACGTCAGACATCAATGTCCTGTAATGAATACATCATTATTACAGCGCCGTTCGGGGCCCATTTCTGTAGCTGAGCTCTAACAGGGACCTTTGTTGTGTTGCCGTGCATGCATCCGGATGGAAAGAAAAGCCTTATCTTGTAGCCAGATGAGAGCTCTGGGCCGCTCCAGTGCACCAGCTCCTGATAACAGACATAACTGAGTACAAATGAGGAGAAAGAGAGAAGAGGAGAGGAAAGAGGAGGGGAGGAGCAGACAGGGAGCAGAGAGAGATAAAATCCATGTCCAGGCGTTGCCGGTAAAGTGCACATTAAATTCAAACAAAGCCCCGTGAGTAGACAGGACCATCAATTCAACCTGTGATATGTACACAATCATTACAAACGGGAAACAAAGGCCGGTGTCAATTGCGCCACTGTTATAAAGCCGTCTCTCAAATTAAAACTCAAAAGCGTCTCGCTCACAGAGGCTATTTAGCAGCCGTATTTTACAAGAAGGAGCAATAACTGTTTTATTTAATGTATCTGCTCCCTGCAGGGACATGCTGCTTTAATAGAAGCTGTCAGTCAACGTCAGGCCGCTGGGCAATAAGACGGCTGACTGCAATAAACACGCAGGGAAGAAGATAACGCAGCGCCGCAGAAGATCAGCCCCTTGTTAACTTTCTGCCCACCGCCTGTGCCCCGTTTGTCATTTTCTTTTGTGTAACACTCATAATTTGTCATGGTGGATGGTTATCAGATCGCTCTCGTGTGTCTCTATCTGTTTTTTTTTTTCTGTGTGTGTATTTTTCTTCCTCCTCTAAATCGCCCTTTGAAGAGAGGTGATGTGAAAAATGGATAATGTTGGAGGAGGGACACTTGTAAATAATGTGTATCATCCTGACACGATGGATCCATGCCGAGATCGATGTGGGTATACATTGCAGTGGTGAGTGTGTGTGTGTGTGTGTGTGTGTGTGTGTGTGTGTGTGAACAGAGGGCGTCCCGGGCAGATGGAGACATCTGTTGATTTCACAAGAAACAGGATGTTTACATGGAATACATGAGCGTGCTCCTGTCTTTCTTTTCAATGGATGTTTAGGTTTTAGTTTGCATCAGTGAATTTGTTTTTTGACTGATTTGTCTTGTCTTGTTGTGTCAATACGGGAAAACTACTAAAGAACAAACTCCAATCCACCATGACTGACTTGCATATTAATCTTTTTAATTAACATGTGATCTTTAACATCTTCGATGACCTATTTTGCAATCAATTTATTTAGCATCTTTTTTCATCCACATGTTGGTCAGTTTTCCCTTTGGTTAACGTTTTTCTCATGCTTTCATGCGTATACGCCATTGTCCTTGTCATCTCATAGATTGCTAACTAGCCGAGCTGAGTCTCTGCCATAACTCGGTGCAAGTGTGTCGTATACAGTAGCTGCATTGCATTCTGGAACTTTGAATCCATCGTTTGTACTAACATCTCCACTACTTTTACACTGGAGTTTTCATTAATGTGATTTGAACGTCACTGGAAAATGGTGAGTAAGAAGAGAAGCTTGCTCTTTTGTTTTTAAGAACTAGCAGCGAAACCTAATCATTGTCACTTGAGATTGAAGTTTTTTCTCCTATTTAACATCATTGTTATTGTGCTAGCAATAATCATGTCCCCCCATGATTGTCAGCGCAACACACAACCAAGAAAAACTCAACTTTAAAGTCCCCATGCAAGGTCTTGAGAGCCATGATTTGGTTTCATAAATTGAAGTATTTCCCGTCGAAACAGTGGCATCACGTTGAAGTGCTTGACTGATTTACACAACGGCTAATAGCTTTGGAGATTGAATCTTTGGACACGTTGAATCTAAATATGCTAGCTAAATATGGAGAACAGTGAAGAGTTTAACGAAAGGCTTTTTTCAACCATGCAGGATTTCTCACCGCCACCTTTACCCACGTCTTCATCCGTGCCTGTCTGAGATAAGATTATATTGCTTAGTATTACTGATGGAGAAGCCCTGATGGTGTATAAAGATGGAATTGCATTCTCCATTAGCCCGAGGTAGTGACATCTCCGCATTGAAATGTCCCAAGTTTGTAAAACACTTCTCTGAAAAGCAGCTGTCACAAAACTGCCAACTCGCACACATTCCATCCTCTTTCAAATAAATCCCAAGCCATGGCTGGAAAAGAGAATATGCAATTCAGTGCAGAAACACACCATTGAACAATATTTCCTGCTAATGATCTGCTACTGTAGAGCAAGACACACCCGTGAGCAGGACATATACATTCCAGAGAGCATTTAAATGAATAAACACAAAACTAGTACAGGGGGAGTTATAAATTATTATTTTTTAATTGGAGTACAAAATACAAAGTACAAAATTAAAACAATCATATGTCCAATACTATTTTTTTTCTTTCTTTTTTAATACTATTGTATTGGGATCCATTACACTAATGAATAGGGACAAAAAGCCCTAAAACAGCAATTTTGACTTCAGGGGCATTTTACAGCTGTATAATCCTTCAGTGAGGCCCTCTATGTGAAAGGAGTGGACTCTTCCACACAGAGATTAAATGCTTCTTCACGTTAGTAATGTCAGCACAAAATGATTATCTTCTCTGAATAATTTATCCCCTAGCATGCCAGCTGTAATTCTCTTATCTTTCTCCTCTTTTGGCTTTTTTCCTTCTTTTACTGCAGAGGAGACGGTAAACGGCTGTTAGTCTTCCGAAAACCTATAGATCGTCTTTTCCATCAATCAATTAAAAAACACTTCCCTCACCCTCACCGTGATTTATATCTTGTTAATAGAATTGTCTCACGATATCCCTGTATTGTTATGCTCCTAAATTACATTAGCTGTTTTTAGCCTAATGTTCGTTCTGAGGCTGACCTCCGAGAGACAGAGAAAGAGAGACAGAGAGAGAGAGAGAGAGAGAGAGAGAGAGAGAGATAGAGAGAGAGAGAGAGAGAAAGAGAGACAGAGAAAGAGAGAGAGAGAGAGAGAGAGAGAGAGAGAGAAATGGAGGTTTAATAATAGAGCCTGTGCACTGATGGTGCTCTTTCTGTAGGTCACATACCCCACTGAATCAGCTACACACCGGCGTGACCTCTTTATTGGCCCACGTGTCGCCCCCCCCTGAGCTTTAAAGAGCTGCATCACCATACAGCCATTGCTGAGGAAGATGGATGTTCCTCCTGGGGAATTTTAGAAGGCATCACAGTAAACATGGAGTTTAAGAAAAGTGGAAAAGTTTAGGAGAAATGATGGACTGAAATAACAGAACTACATTTCAATACTAGAAAGTTTTTTTTTTTTCCCCCAAATGACATTAAATTGCTCATTTTACAAGAAGAGCGCTATGATTCTCGCAATGCAAATGTAAAATGCACTAAAACAAACAAATAAAAAAAATTAATAAATAATAAATAAAAATCCAACATCCCCCCCCAAATTGCTCTGGAAATCTCCTAAAATCCATCAAACAATCGATCAAACAAAGAAAACTAACCTTTGCCAGGTTAGAATATATTATATATATTCATTCATACACATATATATGTGTGTGTGTGTGTGTGTGTGTGTGTGTGTGTGTGTGTGTGTGTGTGTAAAAAATTTAAATAAATTCCTCCCAAATGGAATTAGCTTGCTCAAGAAATTTCCTAAAATCTATTTTAGAACAAAAAGTAAACTCAGCTTTGCAGGTACCAAAATTTCACAATGACGATTAAAAAAAATAAAATAATTGAAAAAAAAAAAAAATAACCCAGCTAGCAGGATAGCTAGCTGCTAATTTTGTAGCCCGATTAATGTGTAATTACCTCAGCAAACATTTTGCTTTCTTAAAACTGACTGGATGTAAAGACAAAGCAGCGTGCATGACTGATGCTAATACACCGTTTAACGAAGAGCCCTCGACACAGCTGCATGTAAACTGCTTTTTAAATATTCATTACCACACGCCCCAAAGACCTATTACTGTCCTGAGATCCATGAAACCCCCCGGGGACACTGAGAGACAGCGAGATTTTACAGGGATGAGTCAAAAACTAGCAGGTAGTGTCACTGAATAATCAATCACGCAGCTCAGCCATGAC